GGGTTCAGGGTTTTAGGGTTTAGGTGGGTGGACGCTTGGGGTGACGAATGAAGTACCCACAACATTCATTTCGCAGACCGTTTCTATCAGGATGGCATCATACACCCCCTAGGGATTTTAGATCGGTTGCCAGACGGTGAGTACTCTAAGGCGATCTGTGCTTCACAACCGTTCCAGACCTACGCCGAGATCCTACACCCAAAATGCGTTATCAAGCCAATTCCAAGTATAGTCTGTTGTTTTGGAACCCTAAACCCTAAAGCCTAAACCCCTAAGCCCTAAGCCCTAAAAACCCGAAATGGCGGGTGAGCTTCATAAGCACCGAGGTCGAAGCCGGAGATCGATGCTTACCTGGAAGAGAAGCAGAAAAGAGCAGCCAAACACGAAGCCAAGGTGGAGGCACATGTTCGATTTAGGGTGTAGGGTTTAGGATTCAAAAGTTTAGTGTTTTGTTTTTGAGATTGGGTTTAGGGCTATGGGCCGTGGGCTAGTAATGCATGTTTTTGTTGTTTAGTTCGGGGTTCCGTTCATGGTCCGGGTCCTGTTTTCCAAGCTAACTTACTACACAAAGAAACAAACCCCAGAAGGGACAGTGTTATACAAGATACGCATCTTGAGCCAAAGGGGGCTACGGGAGAAGTTCAGAACGGACAAGCGAGCATGGATCGTACTACACAAACATCACCTCTTGGAGGACATCGCATCCGTTCTTGATGGTCTTGGTGCAGATGGCCACAGCAAGTTCAGCCAGACGCTCATCGAGCCCATGTCAACCAGACAACGCAGGGGTAGTTGGAGAGCTGCGCCAACCGTCGAACCGATGGCACACGAGGCTTTGATTTTATGCCTTCAGCATGCGCCTACCGGCAGCCCTGACAAGATTGCCGCGTTCCTCCACATCGACCGTGCCCTGACTAAGCTGGCCTGCTGCTGCAAGCAATTGTCTGTGACTCGCCGCGAATTTGCAGGTGTTCGAGACGACAGTGCCAAGAAGCTGGATCGACTCAGCAAGATAATCTTGAGGGAACCCTCCTCACTGTGGCTGAATCAGTTGATTTTCATACAGTATTTGCCCCCGTGTCTCGCCAAGGTTGGTAAGCTCTTTTGCTCGCATGTTTTGTGAGTTCTTTTAAACCTTATGTTGCAACCCTTCACCCAAAGGCCTTGAACACATCTGAAAACTACCTTAGCTTAGAACGTAACCTTAGACTCTAAACCCTAAACACTAGAAATTTGCAACCTAAACCCTAAATTCCAGACCTTAAACCAAACATTCCGAACCCAAAAAGCTGAATTCGGCTCAAATTTCTCAGGCTCGACCCCGGTAAGCTCAAAAGCTCAGGATCGTGTTTAGGGTTTAGGGGTTTAGGGTTTAGGGTTTAGGGGTTTAGGTTTTAGGGGCTTAGGGTTTAGGGACACAGACATGCAGAGCAGAGCAGACATCACACATAAACGCCTCTAAGTGCGCTTATTGGCAGACATATGTTTGTATGGTTGCACATGTGCAAGTATAGTCTCTCGTTTTGCTGTACGCCTAGGGACCTACACCCCAAACCCCCAAACTTTGAACCCGAAGCCCTGAACCTTAAACCCCAAACCCTAAACCTAAGTAACCCGAAGCCCTAAACCTTAAACCGTAAGCCCTAAACCCCAAACCTTCAACCCTAAGCCCTTCGGTAGATGATATAAATCGTGCATTTCCCAGCATAAGAAACATTCCAGAATTCCCCTAACCCTAAACCCTAGACCCCGGGTTTATATCATCAAAAGCATCTCTGCAAGAGGCCTCCAAGCTGGAAGCCAAGACGGAAGCCAAGCTCGAGGCGACAAGACATGCAGGGGTTTAGGGCTTGGGGTTTAGGGTTTAGGGTCTAGGGTCTAGGGTTTAGGGTGTAGAGTTTAGGGTC